CGGGTAATATTATATATCCTACAAACACACACACACACGTATATATATATATATATATATATATATATATATATATATGTGTGTGTGTGTGTGTGTGTGTGTGTGTGAGAGAGAGAGAGAGAGAGAGTAGGCATTCATGTTGAGCATATGCGTATTTAAGTCCGTTACCTGATGATGAAAAAGGGTTTATTTTACACTATAATCTCTTTTCAAAATAATCTTTTCCCTTTCAAAATCCTTAATAAGATGTAACTTCTCCGTCTATCACAGAGAGCGAATATTGGGCAGTAAAATGTTTATCTTTTCAGATTGACTTTGTAGAGTGACAATAAAATGCAGAAAATCGTTAACCACTACCCTAATCCGTCTTTATCGTCAATGCTGTACACGTAAAATATGTGCATCAATACATACGTGTTCATGTACGAGACCCTCGCAATAGAACTGTGGGGCGACATCTGTTTTTTTTTGTTTTTTTTTTAATCATTACCACAGTAATAAGTCCCTTACTTACCAGGTGCTCCAGATTGTCTGCTAAACTAATCATTAGTTGAATTCAATCTTCACCGATTGTCGACTTATGTCAGATTATGTTCTTGGACACAAAGCTTAGAATGATACAAAGAAAAATAGTCTTGTCGACCATTCCATAATGAAGTGATTTCAATCCTCATCAATGTTCAGCTCCCGTGACTTTAATTCAAAAGTATCTCTGCTATATATCTATGGATGTCTAACAGAGTGAAGTGAGAAAATTCACTGGCGAGACCATTCACTAATAAATCCTCGACGTTGTGACATGATTAACTTTGTACCATACTAAGTTTGATAAATAGTCATATATATTCTTGTACTTATTGCTTTGCAATATATAATTCATTTCTTTGTCTCTTCAACAAGAATCAAATTCAGAATCAGTTGTCAGCTCTTATCAAATATTCACGTACCTGTGTTTATTTATATGATCACTTGTCTTGCCATTACTTATTAAGTTGCTCTCCGCAAGACATTCGTATTTATGACATTTTAAACTGATAGTTAATGAATATTTCATTATTAATGTCAATATATTCACGAGTTAGACGAAAATTTACTCTTTAATGCGTATATCTCCACCTTGTGTTAAGAAAGCGAAAAGTGTAAGATTGATTTCTGCTGGAAATCTCCAGACGAGAAAAATAATGAAGCTCTTTGTTGGGGCGCACCCACCTTCTAACTAGTAATGGACTGGTCCCTCTTATATAAGTCAGCTCTGGAGAGAGAGTGACAGAGCGTCAGAGAGAGAGAGTCAGCGTTAGCAGTCCAGATAAGCTTACCCGGTACATACCGTTGGACTATAGACTTTGGATATTGTTTCGTACTAACCAACCTTCGTTCTACTAATCACTCTATTGTTAATTGCTTTTATGAATATACCAGTATTTTCCTCTACAACTGTGTTTGTCTTGATTCATACACCGACACGCGGGAAACTCACAACATCTCACTCTTATAAGCAAGGTAATAAAATGCGTCTATGAACATCAAGTGATTTCTAAATTAAAAGGAGTTTGGCACAAGAAGCAATGGATGAAAGGCAGTCAGAAGGTTGTGAAACATTTGGATTTCTAGGACCGAGAGAACGATTTAAATGTCGACTTTGAACGAGATAAGTTTATAAATTTTACGTTTAGTTGTTCTTACAGGCACAAACACAAATACATACACATATATATTGTACGTGTTTAACATACACATGCACACAAGCATATATATATATATATATATATATTTAAAAAAACAGACCACTTTAAGGTGCCATTATAATAATTTATTTCACCAGAGTCATTTTAAAAGACGCCGGATCATCAGATAGCACTTCCAAAAATGAAATGAAATAAAAAATGTTATAATGGTACCTTACAGCGGTCAGTTTTTCTTTAAAATATTACCTCTGGATTTACATTGGGCTCTCACGATTTCATCCTCCTTGGGATTACCCATACGGATTACCAAGTTCTTCATAACTTATATATATATATATATATATATATATATATGATAAAAAAATATAGTTTTAAGGTATGCTATATTTATGGGTAAAATTGCTAATATAAGATAATATATATAGAGTTAACAATTGCTTTCATGCTTGAACGCAATATTCAGACCACACGCACACATGCACACACACACACACACACACACACACATATATATATATATATATATATGCTATCGACCAAAACTTTGCACCACATTGATTTTTTCTTCTAAACTTAAAATGAATCAAGAAATAATTATAATTTCAATTAAAGTAAATTTATATTTTCTTTTCACTGAAAAATCCACCACGAGCATTTTATTACTGCAGAACAAATTCTTGGCATCCTTTCTAGTAACTTGTAAAAGTATGATGATGGAAATGATTCTCAAGCAGTGTGTAAATGTGTTTTTTATGGTTATTGAACCGAAGACGAAATTCCGTTACAGTTTCCTCAACATTTGAACTGTTACGGTGGTTTGAATATTACATGAGTGCCAAGATGTGTGAAATTGCTATCAATGAGTATATGTCTACACACTTCAGGCTGAAATTGCTATCAATGAGTATATGTCTACACACTTCAGGCTGAAATTGCTATCAATGAGTATATATCTACACACTTCAGGCTGAAATTTCTATCAATGAGTATATGTCTACACACTTCAGGCTGAAATTTCTATCAATGAGTATATGTCTACACACTTTAGGCTGAAATTACGGAAACTGGACAATTTATATTTCATATTTCAATGGAAACCAGGAAAATAGTAAAAAATATAAATACAATTCCCTAAAAAAGAACTTTCGTTGGTTTTTAACCAGACATGTATAAATAAACAATTGCTACTAACACACACACACCAACGAAAGTTCTTTATGTGTATGTGTGTGTGTGTGTGTGTGTGTGTGTGTGTGTGTGTGTGTGTGTGTGTGTGTGTGTTAGTAGCAATTGTTTATTTATACATGTCTGGTTAAAAACCAACAAAAGTTCTTTTTTAGGGAATTGTATTTATATTTTTTACTGTTTTTTTTTACTATTTTCCTGGTTTCCGTTGAAATATGAAATATAAATTGTCCAGTTTCAGTAATTTTAGCCTCCATAAGCCATTATCAAAGACCTTGGTTTTTTGGGGCTATGTCACTTGCTTCGTTTTTCAAATATCCCGCCTTCGGGCGTCATGTCAGTTTTTGAAAATATCGTGTCTTCGGGTGACATTTATCTGGATCAAATTTATGTAGAAACTGTCCAAAATTCATGATATTTTTTCGTTCTACTACTTTTAACTTTCATTGCTCATTATCAGAAACATGTTACTAGCTTTGAACAAAGCTAAAATTCTGATTAATTCTTAGCGTTTTTTTACAAAAACGTTATTTTAATTTTTAAATTTACCTGTAAGTGACATCTCGGTAAACTGTTTCTAACTATATGCAAGTCATTTTTAAACGAATTCTTAGTCCTATGTGCACGTTATATATATATATATATATATATATATATATATATATAAAAATATACTCGTCTGGAAAAACCTTAGGTGTTTTGGCTTGTAAATGAACAATCCAATACCCAAGGGAAAATAAGGAATAAAAAAGAAAAGACTAAGAACATGTAATTGAGGTGAAACAATCATCCAGAATCCAAACGCAGAGTCCAAAGAAAAAAACTACAAAACGAGTAAAGCAAAAGTAACTAAGTAAAGTGCTCAATACACTAAGTAGCGCAAATCTAACTATGAACCTAGGCAAAACTACCTAGGTTTCACCTACGCGGATCGTCAGGGTACGCCGGCCAAAGAGGTAAAATCCAAACAGAATATACCAAGTCAAAATATATAAGGATAAACTCAGTAGTACTGACAAAAATCCCGAGGTATATATAGGATCTACCCAAAATAATTCTAAAGCCCGATACTATAACCACCTTAGTAGTTTTAATAACGAAAAATACAAGCATAGCACCACGTTATCTACTTATGTATGGAAAATTAAACAAGACGATAATAAAGACCCCATTTTGAAATGAGAAATATTAAAGAAATGTGAACAAACTTTATTACCCGCTTTATACTTATTATAAAGCGGGTAATAAAGTTTGTTCACTATGCACAGAGGAAAAGTTAGCCATCGCTTTGTATAAAGAACCCGACAATTTGCTAAATCTAAAATCTGAAATCCTGACTAAATATAGACATAGGAAACGATGGTTACTAGAATAGGTTTGAGTTTCTTACCTTATTTTTTTTTTTTTTTTTTTGTTATCGAATAAATATGAATTAGACACTCCCGTTGTTGAGTCACTGATTTATTTGTTTTTTTATTGTTTGTTTTTTTTTAGTCACGTGGTCATGGTTGTTTTTATGTTGTAGGCTATATATTCTATTCCAATTTTACCTCTTTGGCCGGCGTACCCTGACGATCCGCAATAGGTGAAACGTAGGTAAGTTTACCCTGGCTCTTTTGGTTTTAGTTAAATATATATATATATATATATATATATATATATATATATATATATATATATATATATATATATATATATATATATATATATATTAGAAAACATGGCCTCATTACACGTAAGTGCCACACAAGCTTACAATAATTTACATTATCGCGCAAACTGTGATGTCTACAACAACGAAAACTTCGTATACTTACTTCATATATGTGGGACTTTGTATATGTTTATACATAAATGAAGTCACACTGTCTCAAGTTTAGTTACGCATGTGCAGACACTCTGAAATGTCGCCCACGCGCATGCGCATACACATCCTGTTCCGATCCTTAAAGCCCGAGGCGCCTCACCGCCCATAACGTACAATAAATAGCCGTGGAATTCTTCAGGGAACCCACCCTCCGCCGAACTCAAAAATTATGACGAGGAATTCATTACATCTCGAACAAATTTCCGTCTAAAGAGGCTGAAACAGCAGGAATCGGTCGAGTTACTCTTTAGGCCCTGAATGCGTTAGGGGCGGGATATCAGACGGGAAGATTTGCATCCTAAAGTGGGAGGAAGTTGAACACCGATCACAGTAGCGGGCTCTGGGAAGCACGGATGGCCCGATGTTGCGAGGGATGGTTTGATGGTTACTGGGCAGATGGGGTGAAAAGGAAAAGGTGGAAAGGAGAAAGAGAATAAAAACGATGGTTTTGTCCAATGGTGGTAAGTGCCTGGAATAGCATGCATTTCAGTTTGGTGGCCGACACAGCAAAATATGGTAAAATGATACGAAAGATAAAGAAAAGAAAATGGACGTTAGAAAAGAAGACGTGATAGAAAACAAATTAGGAAATTGATTAGTACAATTTTCACCTTGTCAGCGCTATTCTTATAAATAAATTGTTTCACAATTAAACTACATATGTATATTTAAGTAACATATTTACACTAAAATGTATGAGGAACTTTTTGCTGGTGTGTACGAATCAGCATAGAAGTAAAACTATTTAAAAAGATCTGAAATGTTAAAAAATACGCATAATTTATATACAGGTTTTAAATTGGGTAATCTTTTTGCCGTACAATGTTACTGCAGCGAGTTCCAAAAAAGGATCAAGCTCACTACACTAATGAGTGTTCTGCATTGTTGTAGTCATCCGTAGATTTTTACTCACTTTAGTTTTGTTTGACGTATGACAAAAATAATGGCTTGCACAGAAAGAATTAAATTAATTGCTGGAGTGAATGGTTATTCTGTTAACTATTTCATTTACGGCAAGCTGCGAATAAAGGAATATAAGCATTGACTTCCATGATAGAAAAATTATGCAAATAAGTACACACAAGGTGTAAAGAGAAATGGAATACTCTTTCGTGGTAAATTAGTTTGAAGTCTTATAAACAAACACAAAAGTGATATACAAAAGGAAAACACAAGGGTTGTAGAAAAGGGCTGAAAGAAAGAAAGAAAGAAAGAAATGAAGAAAGAAAGAAATATAAAAGTAAAAAAACGAATGAAGAAACAAAACCAAATTTAGAATAAAAAAGAAATGAAACAAAAAAGCGAGCCAAAAAAAATGTCTTTCAGAAAAAATATAAAAAGTGAATCAAATAGAAGGATAGAAAAATAAAATAAAAAGAAATTAAAAGAAACAAAGAAATAAAGAAAAAAGACGGAATAAATATGTAAACAAACATTACTGGTGAATATTGAGAAAAAGTAAACAAACGAAAATATATAAAATATTGAAAGAACGAAAAGAATGAATACGTTATAACTTTATTCCTTCTCCTCCTTTTCCTCCTGTTCTTTTCTCTTTCTACTCATCATCCTACTACGGAAAGAGGAGAAGGATGCGGAGAAGGATAAGTAGTGGAAAAGGAAAAGGAATGGAATTGCTTGGAAAACAAGAAAACGCGGTAAGAACATGAATAGAAAGCAAGGAAATGGGAGGCAACTCTTTCTGTATCCAGCGAGCGACAAGCCTCCAACGCCAGTTTCCTTTCTAAGCAAGCAGGTGATTAACAACACACTTGGGTTACCACCACGCCGCTTACATCCGGGTTTTTGGAGTGGTGGTGGAGTGTGGGAAACATTGTCGGGGGCGGGCTTCTATGACTGAATCACAGCATCGCACGAAGGGGCTCTTTCGTCTGACCGGGAAATACTGACACGCGCTATTTAAATTCTTGTCTTCGTACATGTGGATGTACTAAACTCATTATCCAAGGTCAACGGATGCTGCCCACCCTGGGGCCAGCCAAGCTGGCAGGGCGTCGACATGAGTTCGAACGCTTGATTACTAATGCTTTTTTCTGCTTTGGAGGGTCCCCGAATTTCGCGGTATGCAACTGAGATGAGATGGTGTAACGTAAAAAGAAGAAACATTGGAAGAATAAACACTGGAAGGTTAAGAGAAAGAGAGAAAGAAAAGGAGACTGCATGAGATAAAGGCGGGCTTTTAAGAAGAGAGAACCCGCTAATATTGGAGACACGGATAAAGACGAAGAGATGCCAGGGTACACGAGTAAAAAAAAAAAAAAAGAGAGATGTGTGTGTGTGTGTGTGTGTGTGTGTGTGTGTGTGTGTGTGTGTGTGTGTGTGTGTGTGTGTGTGTGTGTGTGTGTGTGTGTGAAAGAAACAGTAGAAAATGAGAAAACTAGGAAGGGAGGATAGCTAGAAAAGAGAGAAGATGACCAGATAGTAAACAGCCGAAGTCAATGACAACAGAGGAGGAGGCGCAAAGAGGATTGAATTCTGATTTCTGATGTTGATAATCGACAGAATGGAACAGTAAGTCCTCATCGCTTCTGAAGGCGTGAGAGTTTTCTGAGAGCGAATAATGCAATGGATATGTGCATAGTTTTGCGAAAGTCACTGTCTATTTGCTCTGCGCATAAAACCGTGAATATATTAGCTTGGTCAGAAAGGAATATTCTATTTAAAATATGTAAATGCGGAAGGAATCAACTAGAGTTGTTCTAAACATAAATATTTATATCTAGGCATTTATAACGATCCGCTGCCCAAATGTTTGAGGTATTTGATCATGAAAAAGAAATTAACATCAAATTCACACTGTCTCTTACGATGGAGACAATGGAAACTACGTGATATATAGGGCATTCGCCGAACATTTCGCATACATACATACATATATATATATATATATATATATATATATATATATATATATATATATATATATATATATATATATTCAGAAAAATAATATCGTTGACTTCAAAAAAGTAAAGTAACATCTGCCCTGTGAAGGCAGAGAGAAGTGAAGCACAGTTTGGCCTTGTTCGGAGAGCCGGTCGCCAATTCAATGCCTAACTCGCAAAACGGTGCTTTTTGTTTTGTTTTGTTTGTTTTTTTGCGGGGGCGGGGGATTGTCTCTTTGGTTTGTTTGTTTTTTTTTTTTTGTTTTGTTTTTTTACCACCCCTAGTTTTGGAATATGCTAACACCAGTTGTTTAAAATAATTGCTTGACGACGATATTATTTTTCTGAACATGTGCCAGCCGAAATGTACCTCAAGTTTTAATCGTTGGGATACTTTTGTATCCATTCTTATGAATGAAATATGATCCATTTTTAAAGATCATTTTATCTTGGTGTGGCAATAATAATCTGTTTCTTTCGCGATCGGTATGGCTACAGTTTCACTAAGACCCTCAGCAATTCGATTCGACTGAGAGGCAAAATTTCTTCGAGATGAAATCCTGTACTTTTCTGATGTATTCAATTCTATGAGAGCCCAGTATCGGGCAACATGGAACACTGTCTGGCACACCATCTGGCACACCATCTGGCACACATTATCTTTTGATGATACGATCCGGCTTTTCTAAATATCTGTCTGAAGATGACGTGATTGTTGGTAATAAAACCACAACTAGAAATTCAGTATATTTGAATTTTTTGATTAAAAAGTAATTTGGTTCTTATTTGGCTACGGTTAGACATATTAATTTATCAAATTATTGCTTGTCCGATTCTGATAAGTTCATCCTGTCCCGTGATTTGAATTTTTGTATCCCCGCCTTAGGAAATTTGAGAAAATTGAAATATTTAGTGATTTTGAAATGTTCTTTTCACAGTTAGTTAAACATCTGCCTAATTCTGACAAACATTTGCTTCGTTGGAAAACTCATCTCAAAGACTTTAGCCTATAATTTCATTAACTCTCCTCTATCGATTCTCATAGGTTCTCTTTGAAGAAGAACTATTTTTAAACGTCAACTTCTTAAGGACTAGCAGGGGTATATATATATATATATATATATATATATATATATATATATATATATATATATATAAAAGGTTCAGGTGCTGTTATACTGAATTATTCCGATTATGTCGATAAAATGTTGTGTATTTTAAATGATAGTAGAAAAGTTCGGAAATTGGTTAATGTCACTTGTGACGATAACTTGAAAATAGAAATCCGATTAAAGAAGATATTGTTAGAATTTCATAAGAAAAAGTTATTGTCCAATGAAACTTACAATAATATTCATAACTTTGGCTGCCAATGTCATCGGATGGATGGATGGATTACCAACAATTTATAAAGTGGGCGTTCATCCATTATTGAAAATAATTTTTTCAACCGGAAAACACGTGTAGCAAAATTATGGAAAATAAAACATTTTTTTAAAATCCACATTACAACCAAAAAAGCGTTTGCGGCTTCTCTCTTCTTATTATATATATATATATATATATATATATATATATATATATATATATATATATATATATATATATATATAAATGATATAATTTTGTATAATTTTACATATTTATATAATTTACATATATAAATTACACAGGACAAACTGATGTGTGCTAACATACACATTTTCTCTCTCTCTCTCACACACACACACACACACATATATATGTCCGTGGGTGGGTGTTAGATCCTTATTCAATTCCTTTGCTATCACTTTTACTATCGCAGGTCATTTTTGTCTACTGTATTCTTGACAACATAAAAAAACCTGCAACTTTCATTTCGGGGAGAGCAACTTATCTCTCTCTCTCTCTCTCTCTCTCTCTCTCTCTCTCTCTCTCAATTATATATTCACCTTTCTATTCTCATCCTGCCCACTTTGTTTTTTCTTTCATCTACCATAATCCTTTCATGAAGTTCGAAGCTCGATTTCATCTCAGTTTATTTTTAACCGTTTCTATCACTCCTCTCTCATCACTCATCTTCCTCTTTATCTATTTCACTCTCTTTGTTTTCTTGCCTATTTAATGAACGCGTTACAAAAACAGGTTTAAGCCTACCCTTATTTCCCGATACTTATTTCCAACTGGTGTCATAATAAAATTAAAAGCCAAGTTTGGAGCGATCAATTTCAAGAAGAATTATATCCCCATTTTTGCGCTATACAATTTTCCAAGAATATGATCAATCACTATTTACACACACTAATAAAATATCAACTAAAATAAGAATAAAATATCAACTAGCACACTATCACGATAATGGCACTAGGAGTGATAAACGTAGACCCCATTCCTACTATGGTGAATTTGACTCCCAATAACTGCCTGACACAGTTGATCATTTGTCAAACTAATATGCCACACCCATAGCATGTCTTCATAAAATCCATAGTTAGTAATCTAGTTTTACTGTAACTGATTTCGATATCAAGGATTCCTCAGACTCAATCAATCACCTAAGCGTCATACGTGAAACACGCTTGACTGATGATGTCTCTTTCGATTCATGACTGACTAGGAAGATTTTCCCGCAGTAGGCTGGCATTTTTTTTCTGCGGTAGACTGGTTGCCAGCCAATGCTAAAGAGCCCAGTCTGTCCTGCTATTCAGCCTCATATATGGAAGGAGAAGAGATGGATTCATCACTTTCCCAAGAGTATTTGGGCGTAAGTGAATGTAACGAATATGACTACCTTGCTTAATATATCTTAATATATTAGATAGATAGATAGATAGATAGATAGATAGATAGATAGATAGTGAGTGAGTGTGTTTCACGGTCTCTAGAATGTTTACTAAATTTACAAAATACAGATATCCCGACTAAATAACTGTTGAGGTTTCTTCTAGACACGATGAATTACTATAATGATTTATCTAAATCCCCAAATTTCTATTTCACATATATATAGGTAAAAAATTTTTGTTAGAAAGATTCTGTACAAAAACTTATAGTATAGACTAAAATGAGGATTGGTAAAAAGGCACCTAAATGTTTAATATAGTGATAGAAGTAATGAGAAAAATTAAAACTTTGTTACAATTGGATTTTCAGCGTTTTTTTTTTTTTTTAGAAAAATAATTTGTTGTTTTTCTTTTTTAAAACATTTTTTATTTTAACCGGTTTCGCTTAGCTTTTCAAAAAGTTTTAACTGTTTATCTCTCCACGTGTTGAAGCTTATGTTTTGTACCAATGAAAAAAATGAAAATCAAGGGGTGTAACTGGCTATATATGTCGTTTATTGTAAGTCATTTTTCTTAGAATCTATTTATGCAATGAATTAAGTACGGGTTTTAACTTGTTGATGAAAAATATTTCCTTTTTAATCCGCCTTTGTTCAGTAGTTCTGTAGTCGCATTGGTAGACTGGAAAGATACTAAAATTTAGCAGATTCTGTCCTCCACATTTCTCTATATGTTGACTAAGGGGTATTTTTCTGGTGTGGGGTTCCCTAATTTGTTGGCGATGAACTGTCATCCTTTGCCGGAGCGACTGGCCGGTTTGGCCAATGTAATGTTCGTGGCATGTAATTATGCATATTAAATTCTGAGTCGCACGAGAAATCATTTTGAATTTTGATCCGTCTTTGAAAGGAAATTCATGGCCCTCTAATAGGTAGTTTCATACCCCGCAAAGTGATCGGATGAGGATCTTTAATTGTTTTGCAGTTTTGCAATTGTCAATATCTTTTTAAGTGAGTTAGGTTGTCGTTTACTTTTTATGATTGGATATTTTCGTAATAGGCTTTTCATTTTTTTTTTGTCCTTAAGTAGGATTGGAAGATTTAGTTGTGTGTGTGTAGATTTCTGTGTTCTTTGCGTTGAAAGTTGAGATATAAGGAATGACCTTTTTTCTTTTTTTCCTTTTGCTTCTCAGAGTGTGTGGATGTTAATTTGTTTTACTTTTTCAATAGTATTATCTACCAAACTTTGTGTGTATTTTCTCTTGATGAGTATTTTTTTCATCTCTTCTAATCTGTGGTCTCTTGTAGTTATATCCGAGACTATTGTACATATCCGCTTGTCTAGGTTGAGTGGGACGTTGATACGAATGTGTTTCAGGTGAAAAGATGTAAAAAGAAGATATTGTCGAGAGTCAGTCAGTTTAAAGTATATGTCGGTTTCTAGTTTAGTGTTTGTTTTTGTCTAAAAAGGGAACTTTTTTGTTACTGTATTCCATAGTGAATTGGATGCTAGGATTTATATTATTAATGCATGTTTGGAATGTCTTCAGTTTATCCAGCCATTCCTTCCACAGAATGAAACGCTCATCTAGACATCTTTTCCAGTTTTCTTTTATGTTGCAACTGAAGCCATTCTCATAGATTTCCCAGGTTCTGTCATAGATTTTTAGTTCGTGGTATCTCATGATTAGGTTCGATATGTTGGTGCAACCTTTGTTCCCATGGCTTTTCCTGATTTTTGACGGTAAGGTGTTTCGTTGAACATGAAATAATTGTTTTTTTAAGATGAAGTCTAGGCTTTCTCTGATGAAATTTCATTCGATACGATTTGGTAGCTCATTGGGAAATGTTTCTAGCCAGTATTTTATGGCCTCTATTCCGTAGTCATTTGGAATGCTGCTATATAAGTTCGCAACATCTATTGAGACTATATAAGTATTATGGTTTATCTTGTTGGGCAGATTATTCAGAAAGTCTAGATCATCTCGAATGAAGCTCCAAACGTGTTTAATAAGAGTTTTGAATAGAATGTCGAGAAAATTGCTTAAACGGTGTATCTCGCAAATTGGGCCTTCCTATTATAGGCCTTCGTTTTAGGTCGGTTGGTTCGGGTATAGTCACGCAATCAGTTTTTTTAGTATTGAATGTTTCGGTAATGAACTTACTTTTGTGTATTTTAGGTAGTCCATAAAAATTGCCTGTTTTATATCTAAAGTTTGTAAAGATATGTTCCTTAGAAGTAAAACAGTCTCGGTATTAGTGTATTAAACTGATGAGTTTTTTTTTTTCACACATTTTGTGAGGTTGGTTTTCTCTAGCTTCTTCATTCTAGGTATCCCCCCCCTGTAGCATATTCCGTATGATGCTTGTATATTTTTCTGTATCCATAACAACTGTGCCTCCTTTATCTGCTTCTTTTATAACAATTATTTTGTTCAATTTTAGGTCATTTAGTTGGTTCCATTGTTGTCTGCTTCCAGTTTGTCAAATGAGAAGTTAGATACGTAATTACAGAATTCATCAAGGGCTGCATTTTTACCTTTTGGGGATTGATAATCTTTTTTTGTTTTTTTATTAGTGATTTATCATTGTTTTCTTCTTCAAACAATTGTTCTGCTCGCCTGAGTCTTCTACAGAATTCCGAAACAT